CTCTGTCAAATAAATAAATAAAATCTTAAAAAAAAAAAAAAGGTTATTTAATCAACATTTTTCTGTTTTCCTCTAAAATCTTTATTATTCTGTTCACATGTAGATCTACATCTATTTAAAACTCATTGTGCTTACCTTGTGAAGCAGGGAATCATGATTCATTTTTTTCCATAGGAAACCAATTAATATAGCACTGTTTACTGAAAAGGCCATCCATTCCAACTACATAGTAATTTCTCCTGTCCTAAATCAAGAGTATGGGTCTGGGTTCTCTATTCTTTTTCATTATTCTCTTTGTCTATCTTTGCATGAATATTTCACTATCATGATATCCATAGTTTTATATAATGGGTCTTTCTACCTGATAATGAAGGTTCTCAGTAACTTTGTTATTGCTCAAGATTACCTTAACTTTTCTTTTCATTTCCATTTAAATTTTAAAATCAGCATCTCAGTAAATACACACACATACACATGTGTGCAAAAGCTTCTGGGATTTTGATAAGATTTGTTGACTCCATAAATCAATTTGGGGACAATCAACACCTTCACAATACTAAATCTTCCAAACCATGAACTTGATATTTCCCATCATTTTAAGATTTTATCTATTACTTTCAAGAAAGTTTTGTAATTTTCAATATAGATGTTGTACATATCATTTGTTAGATTTACTTGTATTTGATATTTTGTTGTTTTGAGTTATATTGCTTTAAATTTCATTTTCTATTGCTTGATATTGGTACATAGAAATATAATTAATTTTGGTATATTGGTCTTATGAACAGTGACTTTACTAAATACACTTATTAATTCTAAGCCTGTAAATTCTTTTCAGTATTTTACATACACAATCATGTATTTGCAAAGTATGATGGTATCATTTCTTCATACCCAACCTTTATGACTTTTTTCTTTTTCTTACTTTATTGCACTGGCCCAGCCCTCCAGTTCAGTGTTAATTAGAAATGGTGATAGCAGGATTTTTTTGTCTCATCCTTTATCTCTAGGGGTAAAGCTTGCCCAATAAGTCATTCTTAAATACAATGTTAATTACAGGCTTCTGAAGATAATCTTCACCAGAATAAGGTTTTCTTTTTGTTTTCCACAAACTGGCATTAAGTCTTCTAAAATGGTTTCACTGTATCTATTAAGATGGTTATATGATTTCTGAATATCTTTTATATGTAAAATAATCTCTCCAGCATCTTGCTAGTGTAAAGTTGAGACATTTAACCCTAGGTAGTGATACATGTAAGGAAATTCAGAATATGTTGGTTTTATCACCATTTTTGAAATATGTCTAGAATATTCTTAAAATTTCATTTATTAAATTTATAACAAACCAAATGTCTCTGCTTTGTAGAAGCTTTGAACTGCTGAGTTCCAGTATTGAGATTCCAACTGAGATATATTTTGTTACTTTGTAGGGAAACAAGCTGCATTAGATCCCTTCATATTGCTGAACCTTCTGCCAAACTCAACTGACAAGTATTACACTTACAATGGCTCATTGACGTCTCCTCCCTGCACAGACACTGTTGACTGGATTATTTTTAAAGATACAGTTAGCATCTCTGAAAGCCAGGTAATCTTGGAAATTCAAACAAAAGCAGTAATTTGAAGTAATTAAAAATAATTATTTTCTAAGCTTTACTACTAAATATCTATTTTAAAGCATTTACAGATGCCTTTGAAGCAGATATGCTAAATTGTATGTTAAATGATCTTTTTTCCAGTTGGCTGTTTTTTGTGAAGTTCTTACAATGCAACAGTCTGGTTATGTCATGCTGATGGACTACTTACAAAATAATTTTCGAGAACAACAATACAAGTTCTCTAGGCAGGTGTTTTCCTCATATACTGGAAAGGAAGAGATTCATGCAGCAGGTGTGTATTGAAATATAATTTTTTACTACTTTTATAGATTCAATGTTATAGGAGTTAATTGTGGAATAATGGAAAATACACAAGACTAAGATTTTTTAAAATATTTGATGATTAGCTTTATAGCTTTAGATAAGCTATTTAACTTCTCTGAATCTCAGTTACCACATTTATAAAATAACATTTAAAAACAGCTGTTCTGGGGTACGTGGGTGGCTCAGTCGGTTAAGCGTCTGCCTTCAGCTCAGGTCATGATCTCAGGGTCGTGAGATTGAGCCCAATTTCGGGCTCCGCACTCAGCGTGGAGTCTGCTTGAGATCTTCTCTCTCTCTCTCAAAATAAATAAAATCTTCTAAATAAATAAATAAATAAAAATTGCTGTTCTTCCCCCACACAAATAACCGCATCTTGCAAATGAAAAATACTGAGATTCAGTAAGGAAAGTGATTTTTTTTAAACACACAGTAATAGATGGCAAAGCCACATAGACAAACTTCCAAATTCACTTTATGGTGTTTGTGCTAAGAGCTCTAGGAAATGAATGACTAATGGGCTGAGGTGTGCAGAGCTTGGGGAGATCACTTCTGGTTGGGGTGGTCAAGAGCCTCTCCGATAGAACGCCATTTGAGTTGAGTCTTGGTGCGTGATTGGGGTTTTAAAGTGCTCACCTTTGTGTTGGCAGCTCTGAGTGGAGAACATAGCACGCAGTAGGGATTGAAAGCAAATGCACTGAATTATTAATGAATAAAAAGGGAGTCTTTCCTCCAGTTTCCTTCTTTGGGGGAAAAGAAGTTTGTTAGGCCCAAGCAACGGACGAACCCCAGGGGCAAGTTTCTGCAGTGCCCTCTGTGTATTTTGAAGTTGACCCACAGTCAGAAGCCTTTGAAAATGTCCGGAGGACACAATCAGGTGCATCTACTGACTTTTCCTTTTCAGTTTACACTGATAGTGGACTGGCTGATGAAAGAAATAGGTGAAGTGGCCTTTGCTTTGAGGACTTAAAACATTTCCAAGTACATGGCCTTCTTTGATCTCAGCTGTACAATGAATTTTTGGCCATCTATAATATTAATCTAATAATCATCTGCTTTTGAAGAGTAGCATTAAAACAGCATGTTTTTATTATTTTAATGTAATGTTTGTGAGAATTACTTCTCCTTTAACAACAACAACAACAAAATAGAGCACAAGACAACAGTGATGAAGAGCTACATTTAACATGACCATAAATTTCTAATTGAATTGCCCCAAAGTGAGGAAGTTTCATTATATTTCTACCAGCAATACTAAATACTATAACATTCTGTCTGGTAAATAATAGGCAACTGATTAGAAAAAAAAAACAAAAACAAAAACTACATTTAAGCATCTCCTTTTAGAAAATACAATAGATCAAATAACAAATGAAATAAATTCGATTTTTATTTGCTACGTACTTTTGTCAGTTGTATTTTATTAAAACCTTTCAGTGGCTTTCCATTGCCTTTAGAATAAAATCCAACCATTCATCATTGCATGGTCCTGTTTAGCACGTACTAGCCTTAGCATTTATTCTCTGCCATTAGCTTCCTTCTCTTGTGCTGACCGAACTCTTTGATGTCCCCTGAAGATGGAAGACCACGTTCTCCCACGTTACATATTACATGCTATTTCCTTATCATGGCATATTCTTCCCTCTGTCTTCACTTGCTTGCCTCCTCCTCATTCTTCAAGACTCACACAGACTTTGCATCCACTGGGAAGCCATCTTTGAGTCTATCTCCATCCTCATCAAGTCTGGCTGTGGCCGGGGCATGGGACTCTGCACTCGTGAAGGTGCCAGGCCCACAGAGTACAAAATCAGTGATGCTCATCTGGAGTCGTGTCGTGTCCTGTGCATCCAAAGTGCACAGCAGTTGCCACAGATGACAATTGTCTGTTCACTTATTTGTCTCCCCCACTGGACACTGAGACCCATGAGAGAAGTAACTAAGTCTTTATCTCCATTGCTGGGCTAACATAAAGCTCTCATTCACCAAATACTCCCTGAATGACAGAAAGAATCCATTTTCATATAATAAAAACATAGCAGGGGTGCCTGGGTGGCTCAGTGGGTAGGGCGTGCAACTCTTAATTTCAGGGACTTGAGTTCAAGGCCCAGGTTGGGCATGGAACCTACCTTAAAAAAAAAATGGCATTGGCTTTTTTCACAAACTGGAACGATTGGATTCTTAGTTTTTCCATCATGAGTATTTGTATTTGACAAGTCTTTATTATCATTTGCCATGGGCATATTCCTGTGATGGTTTTCTTCTTAATGGACACATTATCCCCCTTCTACTTTCTGGTGAATTTGAGAATAAAAATTGAGGATTGCATTTATGTCCATGATTTAATCTTTATTAAATTGAACCTGAAAATAAGTTTTTTTACATGAACATTATTAAAAGGCAGGAAACACAGATAAACACACAGAAAAAATGAAAATTCCCTATAATGTCACCACCCAGAGATAACCGTTAGGAAGATTTTGGTGAATATCCTTCCAGGACTTTTTCTTAAATTAAAAATATATTCTTATATCTCACAAAAATGAGACTACAGTACATATATGTTTGTTGATTTTATTTTACTCGATGATACACATATATCGTTAATGCCCCATTCTTAATTTTTTGCAATATTCCATTGTATAGTCATAACAATTTACTAAACCAGTTCCTCAATTTTGGATACTCAGGTTATATTTATATATTTTGATATTGTAGATATCTAACATCTTCATTTTGACCAAGAGAGAGGGGGTGGCATGAAAATTGTCAGAATTCAGCTTTCAGGAGATGCACTGTGGAAAAATATATTTGCAAAACACATTGCAAATAATTGCAAAAACCATGTGAGGTCTGTATATCTATGTAAACTCCTTGAGGGTAGAGATTAACCCTTACTCATTTTTGTATTCATAGCAGGAACTCAGTAAGCGTTTGTGAATGAATGCGTATTTTACCAGAACATCAGTCCTCTATTTTTGCATTTTTATATAGAGCTGCCATTTACTAGAGACATTTCTCTTTGGCATCGTGGAATGGACACAGAATTTAATAGAACTTTGAAGGAGCTAGTAAAAACTGTCTTTTAGATAATGAGAAACATGTGTGAATCACCATACAAACACAGCATGAGTGTAAAATCAGTGAAGTTCAACATCATCCCATAACTTCCAGGTACCAGACGCTTTCCTGCTGCCTTCTTAGCAAGACTCTCCCACTAAGAAGCAGGGACCTCCTGAAGCACAGTGGGGAAAAGCTTGGGCTTTGAAGTCCAGTAGACTTCTGGTATCAAACCTTGCTGCCAGTAGTTATTAGTTAAATAAAAATTGTCAAGTTACAGGGCGCCTGGGTGGCTCAGTTGGTTAAGCATCCGACTCCTGATTTTGGCTCTGGTCTTGATCTCTGGGTCATGAGATTGAGCCCTGCTTTGGGATCAGTGCTCAGAGGGGAGTTTGCTTAAGACCTCTCCCTCTCCCACTGCCCCTCCCCCTGCTCACGTGTGCTCTCTCTCACTCTCTCTCTCAAATAAATAAAGTCTTAAAAAATTGTCAAGTTACTTCACCTATAAAATTAGAGGTAAAAGGCCACCTTGTTGTGAGGTTTAAATGGGCTAAAGTTTGCAAAGCAGTACAGTCCCCTGAACATAACGTGTCCCAGACTTACAGCTGCTGTTAATATAATGTGTGTATCTACACACTCTTGTATGTGTGTGTGCACATACATATGGGAGCAAGCTATCACAAGTATGGGGTGCTATTCAAGTTTTCCATGTTTAAAGCTTTTGTTTGTTGAATAAAATCATAAAAGCACTTCAGATCTCATTTGCTAGCATTGCAATATATTCAATGCAAACTTTTTTTTTAAGTTTTATTTATTTATTTATTTGAAATAGAGTGAGAAAGAGAGAGCACAAGCAGGGCAGATGGGCAGAGGGAGAGGGAGAAGCAGGCTCCCTGCTCGGCGGGGAGCCTGACGTGGGGCTCGATCCCAGGACTGTGGGATCATGACCCTAGCTGAAGGCAGATGCTTAACTGACTGAGACACCCAGGTGCCCCCAATGCAAACTTTCTTTAAAAAAAATACAATATAAAATGCTTTTCAAGGCAGGTTTGCATGAAAGATTGTCCCTATAGTCTAATATTGTATTTGAGCTGTGAGAAATTTTCTGTACTTTCCTGAAAAATGTCATGATGAATTAAACATCAGTAGACTCACCTTCTTGAAGCTCAGTAGTTTTAAATAGCATTCATTAAGGTCACGTGTACGTAATGCTATGCGCCAACTATACGCAGAAAAGTGACCTGGAGATTATTTACTTCTTAGAAGGTTATATATTTTGTTGATGAAGTTACAGTGTGTCCCTAGAAAAGATTGACTGAATTAGGTAGAATCTGAAAGATTCCTTTTGGCTACTTATCTCAAGTGAGTAATGCAGTCCTTTCGAGCTACAAATCAGGGGCAGATCATTTCTAGTTACTGTATTTAACATTTGTGGCAATGTTTACATGTAGTTTTATTAAGACCTGCTGCTCCCTGAGGGGAAATCACGACCTTAATACTGGTTGTCTTCTGGGTCTGTAAATCTTCAAGTTCTTCACAACAATGTCATCAAAACACCTGTCTCCATATTTTCTGAAGTGAGGCTCGTCAGCCTCGGAGGAGGATGTGATGGATTGATCAGTGTGTATCACAAAGTACTTCTGTCACAGTCTGTGCTAAACTGCACCAAACTTCAGCTCCCTGGGAAATAACTGGGTAAGATCTAATGACATCTTAGGTAATTGTGACATTTTCGCTGCCACTCCCCAAGAATCACCATTTTGTCTTTTTACCTGCACCCACAGTTTTACCCCTAGTCCATGGAGCTAAGGCTGGACCTTCTCCCTCAGGGTATCTCTCCTTCTTCCAAGCCAGGCACATAGAACAGCAAACGTGGAAGGACACTCAAATCTCCCTTGGCCATCTGCATCAACA